CACTGATGCGTAAATATTGCCGTTGGGTTAAGTGTATTCTAACGTAACCACTCTGTAATCGGGCAAAATCACTAATCCAGCACCCTACTGGTCTTGATGCTGGATTAGTGATTGTCAACCTGCACTATACTGTAAATGAAGAATTACCAGTATGAAGATGTGACATAGCTATTTGTGGAGTCTTGCATAGACATGACCTGAACCTATAACTTTAGGTGATAAATAAATTATATACTGTATAAACATTATCTCCAGCATTTTTATATTTTAACCTTGATGATGCAGAAGATTCAAAAGCACTGAATGTGTTGGCTACTATGCATGGCACAGCTAACCTAATCATGTCTGTTTAGTTCTGTGGTAAATAATGTATATGTATGAACATACGTGTAATAAGTTTTCTCATTGGGTATGAACACATTACATGTATTGACTACTGATGCTAAAAGAACCTAATTTATCTTCATCTGTAAGTGATGAAAAATGCACCCTTGTCTTACACCTGGGGTTATGGAAAAATATGATTGAATGGAAGTCCTGTTTCCCTTCCTTCTACCCCATCTTATGGTCTACGTCGACTTATGGCTGATAATATACTGTGGGCCATTTCGTAAGATACTTCATAAGCAGAATTCTATATTGGGCAAAATCCAAGTGCCAAATAAATCTTGCTGCCTTTTACTTGAAAATATCCAACCTATTATGAACATATATTTATCATAAATTTGTACAGACAATTCTGATGTTTGGGGCAGTGCTGGAGTAATACCTGTGAAGTTCCCTCATTTTTAGTGGAGCCAGGCTAGGTTGCATCAGACTTCACAGTTTGAGTGAGGGAATATCACCACTAACCCTCCCTCCCTTCCTCTCATCTTCACCATGCTTACTACTATCTTACTCTTTGCCATACATCCAAACCACTTGACTACACATTTGAATTGTCTGTACAGCTTTATTTATGATAAATGCATTAGAGGCTGAGGATGATTTATGTTGTGATTACTGTAGAACCTTATTTGTGATAAATGCATGAGAGACTGGTAATTAATACGTATTGTGTTTAGTGGCGTGAGGAAGGGCTTTGTTAGCCTTCCACAACATTTTTTTTTATCAGTTCTTACTTTACCAAATGCACTTATCTTTAGTATATGGTTGTTTGGTGTGACTGTGACTAGTTTCTATGTGTTTTGTACATTGTTCAAGATATGTAGATGTTATAGTTGTGTGTCTGAGTGTAGCACTTTGTGCTATGTGCTTTCTTGAAATCAGTGTTGTTAAGTAAATCTTTCATGTTAATATTAAACATGTCTAGGAGCAATGAAGGAATCAGATTTATTGCTGTTGACAGTTTCCTCCACTGTCTTGTTGCTAGGAATGCTATGAGAATAGTCAGTTGTGAGGTAGTCACCATGCTGAAATAAACCTGATGCCCTGGAAAAATGCCTAGCTGGTGATCAAGAAAACAGACAAAACATGATGGGGGATACCTGGAATCCACCCTGATCAACACAAAATGCTGTTAAACAGAATCAGAAAACTTTCAGCTTAGCAAAGCTCATAGCTTTACTCATGTTATAATATAAATTCATACGTAATTCACTTCCGATTCATACTCTCACAAGGTATAGTAGGCCTCTTACTGGCTGCTCACTGGCCACACCTTGGTTTTACTTCCCAGGCCACTCTCCTGCTCATCCCTGACTTTATAATTGTATACATATGCTTGTTGTTTATCATTTTGTAATGACTTAAAAAAGCTTGTTAACATAGGTGAATAGTCTCAAGAGTTCTGTACTGCATTGGTGTCTGTTTTTACCATGCTGAAACTGTTCAGCTTAAGTTTTGAGGTCTGGAAGGCCGAACAGCCCATTTGATACATATGTTCATAACTAATTTCACAGTCCAGTAAGCTCTGATTAAACTTGAGATTTTTAATTCTTTCAATTTAGCTCAGAGAGATCACGTTCTTCAAACTATTCATTACCATTTTATCCCTTTACCCATTAATCCAACCATGTTAAAGCATCTACAGAAACTTTTCTTTTGATGAAAACAAAATGAGTCATGTGAAGGTATCTCTCAGTGTGACCTTGTCCTTCTTCTGCCTAATCATTAAAGAAGTCCAGCTATCATAACATCTGACTCCTGGATAATGTCACTGACTGGCACCATAAAATCTATGCTACAGGACATCAGGAAAATCAGAGTTCATGGAGAGAATTAGTTATCAAACCCCCTCCAAATGTGAAACTGTTTATTCCTACCAGCACCACACTGTTCAAGTCACATTTACCTGGGTAGGAATGCAGGTCATTCACCCTCGTCTGTTTTAAGCAGCTTCATTGCTTTAATGCAGAGTTAAGTATACAGTACGGTAATGTGCAAACGAGAGTGCTTAGTAGTGCCAGAATTTGGGGGATGAGCAAGAAAGATCATTTCATAATTTTTTTTTATAGAAGTTTTATTGTAATGTGTGTAAGTATGCTAATTCTTTTCTCAGTTTGGCAGTGCAGGTGGGTGCTCAGCTGGGGAGGATCAGGGTGGAGGTGGGTGCTGCAGCAGTGGCGGTGGAGGTAGCAATACTGACAACCCTCCAGTCTCCAGCCCATCTACCGCCAACAGTGGTGGTGGCTGTGGTGGAACTGGCACACAGCTTAGTTCACAAAAGGAGGGATCTCAGCACACGCAACCTACCACTGCCATCCAGCACACTTCCTCAGCCCCTGCAGCAAAAGACCTCAGCATAAAGGGCATGAAGGTGAGTATTAGGTTGGCAAGGAAACATTCTATAAACAGGTGAATGGTGAAAAATAATAAAATGGTGCATAATACTGTACCTGGCCAATTTTTCACTAACTTAATGACAGGCCAAAAATATCCATAGTATATAATACAGCAGTGCACGAAGTGGAACAATTTATAAAATATTGGACTGAGATAAAGGTTTTCACCATTTTTCTCTATTCATGCTGTTATTACCTGTTTGTCATTATCTAGTAAAGTTAAAATAGCTCATCATAAAAGGTGACTGAAGTGCTGGGAGCAAGGGGCTGGTAAGCCCTTCTCCTGTATGTAATTAAATTCAAAAACAGCTTTTTCAAGTCAGGATGTTTGAATGTGCGTGGATGTAGTACAAGAGATAGAGTTGATCGTTAATGTCCGGCAAACCAGACTTTAGTCCTGAAGGTGAGAAGTACAGTGCCTGCGCCCTGAAGGAGAGATGTTGATATACAGTGGACCCTCGACCAACGATATTAATCCGTTCCTGGGAGCTCATCGTTAATCAAAATTATCGTTAGTCGAGTTGATTTTCCCCATAAGAAATAATGAAAATCAAATTAATCCGTGAAAGACACCCAAAAGTATTGAAAAAAAAATGTTTTTACCACATGAAATATTAATTTTAATACACACAAACTGAAGAAGACATGTACAATTACATGACACTTACCTTTATTGAAGATCTGGTGATGATTGATGGGATGGGAGGAGGGGAGACTGTGGATGGTGTTAGTGTTTAGAAGGGGAATCCCCTTCCATTAGGACTTGAGGTAGCAAGTCCTTTTCTGGGGCTACTTCCCTTCTTCTTTTAATGCCACTAGGACCAGCTTGAGAGTCACTGGACCTCTGTCGCATAACATATCTGTCCATAGAGGCCTGTACCTCCCGTTCCTTTATGACATTCCTAAAGTGTTTCACAACATTGTCAGTGTCACAATTAAACACTTGTTCAGGTTTCAATTCTTCACTGTCTGTGTACTCCTTGAATTCCTACACATATTTTTCAGCTGCTTTTTGGTCCAAACTGGCAGCCTCACCATGCCTTATCACACTATGTATGCCACTACAATTCTTAAATCTCTCAAACCAACCTTTGCTGGCCTTAAATTCACTCGCATCACCACTACTTGCAGGCATTTTTCTAATTATTGCCGTTTTCTTGTCCACAATAGTAGTGATGGTTGATTGGGGTTTTGTGTACAACCTGGCCAGCTCGGAGACACACACTCCACTTTCATACTTAGCAATGATCTCTTTCTTCATATCCATAGTAATTCTCACCCTTTTTGCTGTAGGGTTGGCACTAGAAGCTTTCTTGGGGTCCATGGTGACTTATTTTACAGGTGCAATCACTAAAAACCCTGTGATAATATGAAATGTTCCGATTGTATGTTTGGATGGGACCGCGGTGGCTGGCTGGCTTGTAAACACTGGCCACAAGTGGACGCATCTCAGACGAAACGAATCGTGTTAGTCGAGTTTTTTAGCGTTAGTCGAGGCAAAATTTTTGCATTAAAATGTATCGCTAGCCGGATTTAACGTTAGACGATGCCATCGTTGGTCCACTGTATTGCAGTTTTTTAACTGTCGTGTAGGCATGCCTCTGGCAAGACAATAATAGAGTGAATGATGATGAAAGTGTTTCTTCTTTTTCAGGTCTCACTGCCGATGTATTAACCCTTAAACTGTCCAAGTGTAGATCTGTGTTCGCTCACGTAGCGCTCCGAACATAGATCTATGTTTTTTGCATTCTTTCTTATGGAGAAAATGAAGGTTGGAGCACTATGCGCACAAACATAGATCTACGTTTGGACAGTTCAAGGGTTAATAAAAAAAAAGTGAATGAAAAGAAGTTCGATGTCTTGCTTTAAGGAAAACAAAGCTGAAGGGGTTGAAAGATTTTCAGTGAGGAGCTGCAAGGAGTAGGATTAGGTCAGGAGTATCTGAGAGAGTTAGAGCTAAGGAAAGGGTAGCAATAATGTTGAAGGATCAGTTATGGAAGGAGAATAGGGAATATAAATGCATAAATTCAAGGATTATATGGATTAAAATAATTGTCGGATGCACCTGGAGAAAAGAGGAGTGTAGAGGAGAAAGAGATTTTGTGAATGTTAAGTGAGTGTTTGGGAAGTTTTGAACCAAGTGAAAGGGGAGTTGCAGTGGGGACATGAATGTTATAGTGGGTGAACAGTTATAAAGGGTGTGGTAGGTAAGTTTGGGGTGCCAGGTGTAAATGATAATGGGAGCCTTTGATTGAACTTTATATAGAGAAGGGTTTGGTAATAGGTAATACAAATTGCAACAAAAAGAGGGTAAATAAGTACTTGAGATATGATGTAAGTTGACCACCACTAATCTGGCATCATTGGAACCATTAAATTCTTTACGAAACTCATGTACTGGTCTGCTAGAGTTAACTGCACTCAGTAAGCGCCTCATAAAATAGGTGCAATACTTACACTAGCCGAAATTAGTGCCAGATTAATGATGGAACTGGATTAATGATGCTGGATCAGTGATGGCCGACCTGTAGCAGATACAAGTTGATGGTTAGACCTCTGGATGTGCATGTTTAGAGAGGCAACATATATTAAATTTTTCTCAGTTTAAGACTGTGGCCTCTTGTTCTTCTTGTTATTGATGCTAAAAATTCTTATTGTCTCTTTTATCGTATCTTTTTATAATCTTGCGTGGTGTTTCATGTCCCTGTTTAAAAATAAAATTTAAAGTTAGATTTTTTTTGGCATCATTGAATTTATGGGATAAGAGCTTTTATCGTACCTCATCTCATTTCAAAGCCTAGCCTGGCGGCATGTAATCTACAGCAATCGATTTACACCTGTGCACTGTATGTAATAACTGCCAGGTGAACAGGGGAAGCAGGTGTAAAGGGAGTTTTCTATATGAATTTACCTGCCTGGAAATGAGCTGGGGTCTCTGATTTTGTAATACTTACTATAGTCACTTATTTTTTTTTTCATATAGGAAAAAAAGGCTTCCACAAACTCGTTGGGGTCTGGGGACAGCAGCCATGTAAAAGTTGTGCGGGTTATTGTTGATGACTCCAAGCCCAAGCCTACGACTAAGAAGAACAAGCCCATACAAGCTGATTTGGATGTTTCTAAGGAATTCAACAGGTTGGTTATTGGTACACACTACACTGTTACTGGATACAGTACAGTCTATTTATGCTTTGAAGAACCTGCTGTAGAAAATTATTTCAGATTTTTTGGTTAGGAATGTATAATTTTTTGTGTAATTATTTTATTTCTAGAGTTTTTTAATTTATAATATGTTTGTGCTTGAATATTTATTGTTATAAGAATGGAAAAGCAACTTTTTCATAATTTGCTAAGCCAAGAATCTTCACTTTTAATATACAGTGGACCCCCGGTTAACGATATTTTTTCTCTCCAGAAATATGTTTAGGTGCCAGTACTGACCGAATTTGTTCCCATAAGGAATATTGTGAAGTAGATTAGTCCATTTCAGACCCCCAAACATACACGTACAAACGCACTTACATAATTGGTCGCATTCAGAGGTGATCGTTATGCGAGGGTCCACTGTATTCTTATTTAGAAAATTAATGCTAAATTATTAATTATTATCCTTTTGCATAATGGATATAAGAACATAAGAGAGAAGGAACACTGCAGCAGGCCTACTGGCCCATGCAAGGCAGGTCCAATTCTCCCACCAGCTTAAGCGAATGCCTTGACCTAGTCAGGTCAGTCACATTCACTTAAGGGAGGAGCACGGCATCCGACCTAGTAACGCAAGCTAGTGAGGTCCATCTCACGCCCGCCCACACCCACTCATGTATTTATCATGTATTGCTCACCTGTTTACATACAGTGGCATTGTTACCTACATTAAAAATAGAATTGTAGCCAACAGATGTATATTGTAGTGACAAATTGATTCCACCAATTACAGTATTAAATATTTTCCTTTGTTGTTTCAAACAGGTATTGAAAGAGCATAACTTAAAATTGCATTTTATTATGTAGCAGATGTCATTCACAGATAGTAAATGCCATTAAGAAAATGTTAAAAGAATACAAATGTCTTATCTATGTTCATTGATATATCTTCTTTTTTTTTCTACCCCTTGCGGGTAGCCTCATCACAATATTGGCCAAACTTTTAAAGCATCAGGTATTTTATTCAGTTTACATATATTACTGGCCATAAGGGAAGGTTGTTTTTTCTTAAATATACCATAGTATTCCCGAAATAATACTCCCAGGAGTACGAGAGCCGAATATCCATAAAATCTTAAAAAGAATTATCAAAGTAATGGAAGAATTATTGAGGCTATCATCACTGCCGTGTTGTTCTTATTGTGACTGCTTTGAGTCAGTCTCACTGCTGTTAGACTGATTACCAGTACGCTTTTGTAAATAGTATAAAACATTTATTTTGTGATAATTTTTTAATAATAAGAACATAAGAAAGGAGGAACACTGCAGGAGGCCTGTTGGCCCATACTAGGGAGGTCCTTTACAATTCATCCCACTAACAATACAATTGCCCAACCCAATTTTCAATGCCACCCAAGAAATAAGCTCTGATGTGAAAGTCCCACTCAAATCCAACCCCTCTCACTCATGTACTTATCCAACCTAAATTTGAAACTACCCAAAGTCCCAGCCTCAATAACCCAACTAGGTAGACTGTTCCACTCATCAACTACCCTATTTCCAAACCAATACTTTCCTATGTCCTTTCTAAATCTATCTAATTTAAATCCATTACTGCGGGTTCTCTCTTGGAGAGACATCCTCAAGACCTTATTAATATCCCCTTTATTAATACCTATCTTCCACTTATACAATTCGATCAGGTCTCCCCTCATTCTTCGTCTAACAAGTGAATGTAACTTAAGAGTCTTCAATCTTTCTTCATAAGGAAGATTTCTAATGCTATGTATTAATTTAGTCATCCTACGCTGAATGTTTTCTAACGAATTTATGTCCATTCTGTAATATGGAGACCAGAACTGAGTTAAAATATCTGAAATACAAAGGCTGTTTATGTAGGGTACTGTATGTTACTGTATGGATAATTTTTTTTTTTTTAATACTAAAATGTTAAAGTACTGTTAGTTATGGCACTGGTACTTCTCAGTTTATATTCACCATAATAATTAACGTGTTATTTAAAAAAAAAAACACATATAATAGGTATTACATGACAAATTCAGACACTGTAGAATAGCTGTACAGTAAATGTATGTCATAGGTCAACCCATAGTGCCTTAAATTTAAATACCATGCAGTGTTATTTAAACATTGGTGATTTATGTCTGTAAGTTAAGGCTAAGAATAATGTTTAGTGAATTTTAAACAAAAGTGAAACAGGAGGAGGGAGGAGCAGAGGAAGGGAGGGATGTAACTGTATGTAAACATGGCAAGAGTGACAGATCAGTCACTCATTCATATTTATCACAAAATGCAAGTGTAACAATCTAACTGATGCACACTTTCTATATAGTAGATACAGTAATTACCTCATTTAATCTTGATAATGTAAACAAAGGGAAGCAGAGATTTTCTTTCTTTGAACAAACTGGCCATATCCTACCGAGGCCGGGTGGCCCTAAGGAAAAATGAAAGTTTGTAAGCGGAGATACTTCATAAATATTACTTTCCTCACAACTTGGTCAGGAAACTGCTGATTTACTTTTGGCCACCTCTGTGCTTTCAAAACTAGTGATTGCAAAAGTTTGTGTTATTGTGGAGCACATGTCTGAGTAGATAAATGGCTCTACAGTCTTGATTACAATTGGAGAAATGTATTACTAATTTAAATTTAAAATTTATAATACCAGTACAAAAAATGACAATGCTATTGATGGAGTAACTCTCGCATAGATATGGACATTTTGACTTCTGAGGTATGTGAGAGACCGCAGATATGTTGAAAAAAAAGTATGTGTGTGTATGTGTGGTTGTTATTGTTGTTGTTGAAGAGGTGGTTTGGTCATTTAGAGAGGATGGAACAAAGTAGAAATGAATTGGAGAGCATATAATTCTGTAAGGGAAGGAAGGCAGGGGTATGGGTCGTCCTAGGAAAGGTTGGAGGGAGGGGGTAAAGGTGGTTATTTGGACGAGGGGCTTGGACTTCTGGCAAGCGTGCGTGAGTATGTTAGATAGTGAATGGAGATGAATGGTTTTTGGGACCTGATGAGCTGTAGAGATGAGTGTAGGAGATGGTACAGAAGAAAACGGGTTACTGAATTGCTTAAGAACACAAATGTGCTACAACAGAGGAAAGATAGACTTAGCCGAGAGATCACTGATTTAGAACAAAAACTTAGGATGTTATACCTCACAGAAGAAGTACAAAGGAAACAAAGGGCCATACAGGATATTGCAAGAAACCCAAAATATTTGTATTCCTATGCAAAATCCAAGCTAAGAACTACATACCTGTAGGATTGGACCACTACTGAGAGGAGATTTGTGTACTGACGATGAACAGGAAATGAGTGAAATCCTAAAGGAACAGTATGAGTCGGTGTTCAGCAACCCACTACATGGCAGCAAGGTAGAAAATGCAGAAATATTTTTCACTCCAGAAGAAGGCCACACAGACCAACTGACAATAGTACAAATCCCCTAGTTTTTGAAAAAGAAATGGAAAACATGCCCACTTACTCAGCACCTGGACCAGATTCATGGAATGCTCCATTTAAAAAGAAGTGCAAAGTACCACTAGCACGAGCCTTCAGTATTCTTTGGAGAAAGAGCTTAGATCTAGGTGAAATACCGGAGGCCTTAAAGAGTGCAAACATAACTCCTTTGCATAAGGGAGGTAATAGAGCACTAGCTAAAAATCACAGTCCAGTAGCCATAACCTCTCACATCATAAAAATCTTTGAAAAAGTGATGAGATGGCATATTACAAATTTTATGGACCAGCATAACCTGAGCCAGCATGGTTTTAGAGCAGGACGATCCTGCCTGTCACAGCTGCTGAACCACTATGACAGAATTACGGAGGCATTGAAAGACGACCAAAACGCAAATGTGATTTACACAGATTTTGCAATGGCGTTTGACGAGTGCGATCATGGAGTGATAACGCACATAATGAGGTACATGGGCATTATGGGAAAGGTAGGCAGATGGATTTTCGGGTTCCTAAAATGCAGAACACAAGAAGTAGTAGTGAACAGGGCAAGATCCAGCATCAGCGAGGCCAAAAACTCAGTGCCCCAAGGCACTGTCCTGGCACCTCTGCTGTTTATCATCCTTATAGCACACATAGACAAAAACACCAGGCACACTTTTGTATCATCATTTGCAGATGACACTAAAATAAGCATGAAAGTCACTACGGGAGAGGACACTGAAAAAATACAGGAAGACATAAACAGGGTTTTCCAATGGGCAGTGGAGAACAACATGACAATCAGTGGTGATAAGTTCCAGCTGCTTAGGTATGGAAAAAATGAACTCAAAAGGAACACTATATACAAAATTCGAGAGGGTCACCAAATAGAACGTAAGGAACACACAAAAGACCTGGAAATAATTATGTCAGTGGACCTTTCTTTTAAAGACCATAACAAGACAAAACTTCACGACAGCCAGGAAGACGATGGGGTGGGTATTGAGAACTTTCAAAACAAGGAAAATAATGCCTGGTGACACTCTTCAAATCGCTAGTGCTCCCTCACTTAGAATATTGCTCAGTACTGACGGCCCCGTTCATAGCAGGAGAAATATTGGAGCTGGAACAAATACAGAGATCGTTTATGGCTCACATTGAGCCTATAAAGCACCTAAACTACTGGGAATGCCTGCAAGTCTTGAACATGTATTCTTTGGAGCAGAGGAGAGAGAGATACATGATAATACATACCTGGAAAATATTCAAGGGCCTGGCCCCAAATCTGCTCACTGCCATAACAACATACTGCAGTGAGAGATATGGGAGGAAGTGTAAAATAAACCCAGTGAGGAGCAGGGGTGCAGTGGGGACAATAAGGGAGCACTGTATCAACATCTGGGGTCCCAGACTATTCAACATCTTATCAGAAGATATCAGAAACACAGCTTGAATAAGTGTAGAAGCCTTCAAGAGGAAACTGGACAAGTATCTTCACCAGGTGCCAGATCAACCA